GGATCTTGCTCTGTAGACCAGGCTGGCCTCAAACTCACAGAGATCCACCTGCCTCTGCCTCCCGAGTGCTGGGATTAAAGGAGTGCACCACCACCGTCTGGCTAATTCTTTTCTTATATTCTTAAGAATTTAGTGTTGGTCATAGCTAGCATAATTGCTTGCTCTGTTACCATGGGCAACTTGCCTAATTTCTCTACTTGAACTTTTCAATAGTAAAAGGAGGACTCAATGAACAAAAATGAGCTACAGCATATGAAAGAATAGGAAATAACAATAACAACAAAAACACCCAATATCTTCAGCTATTCCTGTAACTCTTCACTCAACACTTTCCTTGCCCAAACCAAATAGGAAGGAGCCAGTACCTGTGGAAGTACCTAGGTTCCAACCAATGAATCATGTGTCCTATATGGATGCCTTCACTATCACAAACTTGGGAGTTTCCTGGCCATGAGGCAGACAATGCAAATCTGATGGCTTGTTCTGCCTGGAAACTCAGTTTGACCCATTCGCTGAGCTAATGTCTCCTTCCAAGTTCACATTGCTCCACAGGAAGTGACCAGATGATATGACCATTGCTCTATTGGGTCATGGATTCCATGGCAGGTAAGGTGTGTCTTGTTCCTCAAGGTCCAGACCTGAGCTGCCTGCAGAACCCAACAAGAACCCAAAACAGACAAATGAGAATGTGGCCAATCTCTCCCACTATCTGTTAAACACTCACATTTTCACTGTTGACATCAGTCTCGCTGGGGCAGCCAAACAGCTCCCGCCGTAGGAGGTTGCCATCATACTCCAGGAAAGTCAGGTAGAGGTTGCGGAAGAATTCCACATGTTTGTTCTTCACACGGAGCTTTTTAGGGGAGTTCCAGTGGATGACCTGAAGGGTGACAAAGAAGCTGTCAGATTGCAAGGGCCACAAAACACAGACTGGATGAAGTATGATCCCTGTGTCTGTAGTTCACTCACTCACTCATTCATTCTACATTTTTGTCCGAGTGGTAGGCAACCAGTGCTAGTAATGGATCAAATCTTGCCTCTGTTCTAAGCTGTCAATCGTGGGGAAGTTCCCTTATTCTTTGTGTCACAGGAACATCCACAGTTCCTGCATGTGCCGTTACTAGACTTTTATCTCTGGGGTCCTCCAGCTCTACAATGCAGAGGCTGGAACCCTTCGACCAGAAACTGCTTGATGATGCAGACTGTTCAGGAGAAGGACAGTTGGGGCCTAGGAGGGGCAAACGTAGCTCCTCCCTGGAGGTTCCTGGTACTGAGAACATCACTTGGTCTCCTTCTCCATCACCATTGGTTCTTCCTTCCTTTCTGAAATCCATGTCACAGATTTCTCAACACTCACTATAAGCTCCATGGTCCCTGCTTCTCTGTCCAGAGCAGCTGCCTCTGACATTGGTGCCCTCAAGGGTGTGAGTTTGAATTTTTCCACTTCTTCTCTCTGCTCTTCAAGGACCACATTGTTAACTGTCTCCTGCAATTTCTAACTTAAGTTTTATTTCAGGGCCACATCTATATTTTATGCCTGGTTACCACTACTAAACATTAAATTCCCTGTTTAAATATTTAGTGTGTGCTGTGGATATCACTCTATATAAATAAAACACTGATGGCCAATGACCAGGCAGGAAGTATAGGCAGGACAAAGAGAGAGGAGAATTGGGGAAACAGGAAGGAGGAGGGGAGACACTGCAGCCACGGCCAGGAGAGGCAACCTGTAAAGACGCTGGGAAGCCACCAGCCACGTGGCAAGGTATAGATTTATAAAAATGGGTTAATTTAAGATAAAAGAACAGTTAGCAAGAAG